AAGAGCACAGAGGTCATGAGGGTTCCTAAGCAGTGGACAGGTGGGCACGCTGCCGGGGATATTCTGCTGCTGAGGTGGGAAACTCCGTCTCCGGGCCTTTGCTCAGGCTCTGCCTCTCTGCAGGCGTCCTCCTCAGCGTCCCCCTGCACTCAAGAGATGTCACCCTCAGCTGACTCTTCCTCTTGCTGCAGCGCTACTGCGACTGCATTGTAGCGCACCACCTGCGTGGCTTCACAGTGCGGAAGAACAGACGCGAGGAGGGGACCACGTGGGGCTCACAGCCGCACCCAATGGAGGAAAGACTTGCCAGGCCTCAAGGATTCTGGCTGTCACTGGAGCTAGCCTAGGCTGCTGGCCCCGGGGTTGTGCTATGGTTCATGCCTCTGTCTGTCCTCCATTCCTTTCTGTTATGTGTACTGAGCCTGACTGACAAAATCCTATGTGCTTCAGGACCACACAGCATCCTGTCTGGAGACACGGATATGTTCTAAATGAGTAGCACCATCAATGTACTACTACATGTTTCCGTCACCCCCCACCCTCAGAGCCTTCCTGAATTTCCTCTGCAGTGAAGCATTTCATAAAAGCCCAAGCCAGAAAATTCTCCTACAGAAAGCTGTTCCGCAGCTCCCTGCTCCCTTAGGTCTCACAGCAGCTCTTGGCCTCCCCCGGAAGCTGGGACTGTCGGGCCCCTTCAGAAGCGGGAGCACCACCAGGGCCAGAGGTGGCCGTGCCCCACCTGCGTGGGCTTTGGATGTTGGGGAGAGCACACAGGAACAACCTCTGCAGACCCTTTCACATGGAAATCCCATCACTAGTGGTCCACACCTGTGGAATTTGCAGCTGGGCTGGTTAGAGCCTTCACGCCCTGGAGCCTTTGGGAACCCCTGAGGAAAGTTAGCCTTGCTCCCTTCAGGTTGGTCAATGGATCTGCCCACCCGCTACAAACACCAGGCCCAGACGGACCCAGTCTCCCCGACATTTAATCAGGAAACTTCAGCATTCTGACAAAGAGGATCTCATGCCACACAGCAGGAGAGAACTGGGGTGCAAGACGTCCAGAAGGGGCCACAGTCCTCTGAGGAGCAGGAGACAGGAAGCAGGAGGCAGGAAAGCACTGCCACCTCACACAGTCGGGGCGACTGCTGCCCAGGGCAACAGAGGCTGGGCTTCCAGGGCATGGGTGGGCAGACAGCGCTGAGCATGTGGCACAGTGGACAGAGGGGTCCCCCTGGCCCGGGGCAGGGCCCTGCCCAAACCTTTTTCTCAGCCCTTGAGTGCTCAGAGAGAACAGTGTCACCTGGAGGGAGACCCTTGGGGGGACACTGTGTCCTGGATCAGAACACCCTGTTTCAGGGCGGGGTGCTAGAACTGGTGCTGGGGCAGGTGATGCTGCTGCTCCTGGGGTAGAAGCCTTGGCCCTACCACCACACAGGGTCCCTTTGCAAGCTCTCAAGCCTGGGAGGAAGGAAGGACACAGGTGGGCTGAGGGCACCATGCCAGGGTGACTGCCCCCTGTGGCCTCCTCCTTGACACCGTGTGGGAGCTGCTTCCTGGGGACATAGGGTGAGCAGCTAGTAACCCTGATGGGAGGACCAGCAGAAGCCCAGTGCTCAGGGATGCCCCAACCACCAGTCCTCGCTGCTGCGGAGGAGGCTGCCCTTCTGCACCAGCTTCGGGCCCAGCCGGTGGTTCCCGGCTGTGTCCAGGGCCATGGGTGAGAAGCTGGCAGAAGGGGCCCCTTAGCTTGCTCCAGAGGAGGACGCACATCCTCCTGTGCACCTGAAGACCCTGCCAGCAAAGGCCCACGGATGGGAGGTGCCCAGGCAGGGCTGCCTCCTCTGAAGCTTTGGCAGAACCTGGCTGCCCCCCTGGCCTGTGGGAGGTGGAGGGGCTGCCAGTTGGCCCTGGGCATGCCCCACACTCGCTCTCAGCCTCTGTGCATACCGGGCTGCCCCAACAGGAGCGCAGCATGACCGAGATGCATGTCGCTGAAGGAGCCAATGTCCTGGGCAAACCCCCAGGGTTGGCAGAGGCAGCGGACCACATCCCCAAGCTGGCACCCTGTGAGGGGATCTTGGGGTGAGGCGGTTGGGGTGCGGGAGGGGTGCAGGTCAGGTCGAGCCAGTTTTGGCTCCTCCTGCAGCCAGAACTCTGTGCGGGGATGGGCCCACAAGGAGCCCACGAGTGGGCCATCCTTGTGGGCATCGTGGGCCCAGGGGCTTCCCGAGGCCTCCAGGCCTGAGGCAGGGCCTGTCCCATTACCCCCGGGGCTGTGGAGGGCTTGAGAGGCGTCCACATTGCAGAACTGATTCTCTTCTCCCCTGAGTCTCCCGTGGCAAAAGGGGTCTCTGGGACTCGGAGGCTGGGCCACCTAGGAGGCGACCACACACTTAGGTGCCCTTTGGCGCGTGCGCACTGAGGCCTTCTGAGAAACCACGGTTGCCTGGCAACGAAAGAAGCCTTTCGGCCAGAAGACCAGTTTGGTGGGACAGTTGCAGGCCTTGAGGGTGTCTTTGCGCAGGCGCTATGGGCATTGCGAAGTGCATTGTGGGAGGGAAAGGGGCGGAGCTTCACAGTTGCCTCCTTAAATACAGTAGAGTGTGCTCGTCAAAGCGGTTGAGGCGGGCTCTGAGGGGACGAGGTGGAACGGCCATGCAGGCCCCTGGCGGCGGCGCAGGCGGAGCGGAGGGTAACAAAGATGACCAGCGAGGCGCAAGTGTTTCCGGTGGCGCGGGAGCCCACATAAGAACCTTTTCACAGGTTGTCCAGATACCTCAGGGCCCATGGCCCTTTGGGCAGATTGTGCTCGTGGGAAGCACCACAGGGCCGCAGCACTATGAATAGTATCCTTGGTGACGTGGCTGCGGGGGTCCGGGACGCTGGGGACCAGGAAGGCGTCAGGAGCGCGGGCTGGGACTCAGCCGGGCAGCGCCGCGGGGAAGGAGACCAGGAGAAGGGAGGCGGAAGCCCGAGGGCGGGTGGGGGACAGCCCACGGTGGCCTGCGTCGGGGGGACGCTGGGGACAAGGGAGGCGTCAGGAGCGCGGGCT